GGGGGAAACGGAGGAAAGCGACATGCATACCTGAACATCAACCTTGACATCGGCGCGGCCCTGTTGTAGATACCCGATGTGCCAGAGAAGCAGCTCGGCCTCGGTTTTCTCATTCAGGAGCCTGTGTACACATGGGTACAATGTGTGAGTGTGGGTGTGCGGCAAAGAGAGAGAGAGAGAGAGACAGAGAGAGTAGGAGTAGAGGGGGCCCGGGAACATCGCGTATAGATACACATCGTGTCCGTGTCTCCTGTCCTGTGCAAGGGGAGACCATCTGTGCTCGCGTGGCTGCACACCGGAGCCCAGAAAAGGAGGAGGGGGAGGAGGAGGGCAGTTGTGTGTCGCGCGTGTGCCCTCCCCCCTCCCCCCCCCCCCCCGACAAACGGCAGATGCCAATCCGATTATACGCACCGGCTGTACTCGTCAAGGACGGCGAAGTTGGTTGGCTGCGGCGCGCGCAGGCGCTGGTACACCTCCACACTGAGGAAGGCCGTGCAGAACATCATCACCACGGCCAGCAGGAGGGCCACCAGGAACGATCGGCAGGTAAGCTGGTACCCGGCGGCTCCGGGGGCCTGGTAGTTGACTGCCTGGCCGCCGTTCGCCGTCAAATGCATGCCACTGCCACCGCGCCCGTAGGCCACACCGTGGGGATGGCCTGTTGGATGTGGGGAAGCGCGCGTGCACCACACACCACCAGGGCCGAGAGGGGCGCGAGAGAGACAGGAGGAGAGGGAGGAAAAGACAATCGGCAGCGAGGAGGAGGGTGGGGGGACGCTAGAGTGGTTGACGAACCAGCAAATAGCACGCGAAACGAGGGGTGAGGCGGCGGCGGGCTGATTTCTAGGGTAGCTGGGCTACCCGCGCGAGGTGGGTGGCCCAAAAGGCGGGATGTCAGAGGGACGGCCGCCGCCGCCGCCGCACCAGCACGAGGCGAAAAGCAGCAGCCAGACTCCATCGCGTCGCACCTGCCCTCCCTTGCACCCCCCCCCCCCCCCCCCCCCCCGCCCCCCCCCCCCCTGGCTCGCCTCCCCGACCGGCGCGTGTTCGGATGTGCCCTGGCCAGGAGGGCGCTGACGCGTGCGCCCTTCCCTCCCCCTCCGGCCGCCCTGGAGGACGGTCCGCGCAAGGACGGCCGGGAGTCTGCGCACATCGCCCGAGGCATTTGTGCGCGCGTATCCCCCCCCAGACACCTGGGGCCCCGAGCCAGGTGACGCCCAGAAACCAACGCATTCAGACACCTGCCGGCGGGGCGATGCGGGGCCCAACCGCGGGCGCCGGCCACCAAGAGGCGAGCGGAGACGTGGCCCGGGACGCACATGTGTCCGGCCCCCCCTGCCCCCGGTCCTCCGGCCAGGGGCCCCCGGGTTGTTCCGAAAGGGCCCAGGGCGATGACGAAGAGCCCTCTTCCTCCAGTACCGGCACGCGCGCGCGCGAGCACGCACACCCGCACACCCGCACACCCGCACACCCGCACACCCGCACACCCGCACACCCGCACACCCGCACACCCGCACAC